TATTCCGTAATGTAGTCTTCAATGAACATGTATGATTTCAGCAATTCAAAACTTAACAGCAGTTAATGGAATAGATATGGTGAAGTAATTATCCCTAATAATTTACAAAAATGCATCTCTCACGATGACACCAGACAAAGTGTTTCAACAAATTGCATGTTTGGAGGCCCATTGAGGAATACCCCAATTATAATTCCCTGAGGTCTACATCTCCATAGTCATGGGGGCAGGTATAAGACCCAGAGTTAAGCGGAGTCACAACTGTGTATTCAGCCTTCAGTTTTTTCCTTGTACTCTCTGAGATTTCTTATGTCCTGAAAATGAAATCCCCTTTTACCGGCACCTTCATTGAAATGTACCGCCGCTTTTGTTGCCAATCCCAAGCCTGTTGCTACCTTTTTTTTTTTTTTGTCCTTTTTGAGACCGGCCACACCGCGCTCAACCAGTGAGTGCTGTGAGTGCACCGGTCATCTCTATATAGGATACAAACCCGCGGCGGGAGCGCTGCTGCACTCCCAGTGCTGCACTCTCCCTAGTGCACCACAGGCTCAGCCCTGTTGCTTTCTTAAGGAATGTTTGATTACTGAGAAGAAAACTGCCTGAGATTCATTAATTATAAAAGGGTATCCTCAGTAAATTAATCAAGAATTTCTGGTTTCAGGTTAGTTCATTTGTCTTTTGACATCTTTCAACTGAGGTGGAAAACGTGGAGGGCTAGTTCGTATACATTACTCTAAAAATTCCATATGGGCCGGCCCGGTGGCGCACTGCTATAGTGCGCCGCTTGGGAGCGCAGCGGTGCTCCCACCGAGGGTTCGGATCCCACATACAGACCGCTTCCCGCTCACTGGCTGAGCGAGATGCGGTCACGACACCGAGGGTTGCGGGCGTGACACCGAGGGTTGCGATCCCGTTGCTGGACACGAAAAAAGACAAAAAGGAAAAAAAAAAATTCCATATGTCTCTTTTTATGTGCAGGGACATTTTAATTTTCTTACTCTAAAAATTCCGTATGTCTCTTTTTATGTGCAGGGACATTTTAATTTTCACTAACAAGGCATGAAGTATTTATTAGAATTAAATTTATATTACAGAAACTGGCAACAGTGGAATCAGTGATGTAAAATGGAAAAATGTTGCAGAAAATGGGGCATTTGTTGATGTTGAACACCCTAGGCCTGGTTTTGATTTGAGTACAAGTCTATTTCTAACCATTGGTGGTAGAAGGTTATTTGAAATTGCCAAGGCTTAAATATCAAGTTTTTATCTGAGTATCTTTTTGTTATTTACCTAATAAGTGTGCCAAATAGCCAGAGTAGTAATTGCAGGATTTACTAATATGATAAAATGTTGATGGAGATTCATTTATTAAAAGTGTGAACAATGGTTAATGTTTAAAGTGTATATACCCTGGCCCACTTGCTACTGGAAATAATATGACTGTGATAAATGCTTTGTGTCGGGTTGCTTATACTGCACGTAAAGGTAGAAACTCATGGGACTGAGTCAGGAGTCCAAACTTGTTCCAGGTAAACCTGAGAAGATTGAAGAAATTATATACGCATTTCTGCTGCAGCCTCATATGTATATCTTCATTCATTCTGCTTCACTCATTACAAGACCATACTTTTTATGTCATCACTCCTTTCACCCGTTATCTTCCCTAAATTTGCCAAATCATAAAAAAGAGATTTTTTATTGGTCAAGGAATGTGCAATTTTAATTGTGTAATTTTTGTTGTGTAGTAGAACATATTTTTTTATGAAAATATTGTTGATAATATTAAAGTGTGTATAATACATACATACATACATACACACATATGTATATATATTAGGATGTATATATGTATATATCAGAAAGGATAACCTTAAGCACCTAAAGTTAATAATAAGTTAATAAAAATTTTATTGATTATCTTTATTTAACACATAATGTAAGTTAAGCAAAATGTTAATAAAAGACACATAAAAATACAGCAGGTGGCAATGTGCATTGAGGAAGGTTTTAATGGAGGGTATGGAAACATCTAATTGATGAGATTCTGTCACAAACTCTGAAACACTAGACAGATGCTATGGGCCAGGTAAATTTTGAGGGTTATCCCAAGTCTTAAATTCTACATTTATTTGATCTTGTATTATGCCAAGAAAAGATAGAAAATGCAAAAACTATTAATACTAACATTCATGCACCACCAGTCGCTGTGCCAAGCCATCTTCTTGATCTTTAGTGCCATTCTTAGAATGATGACAAGGTTCTTTGTGCTTCTGTTCTGTCTCTCTTGCCTCTGTTTTGTATAATTTCCTTTTGTACCATTAATTTCTATTCCTGTTCTATATTAACAATACTGGCACGCACTGATTTTCAACAATAGGATAATTACTATATATTTTCCACACCACTGTTTCTCACCCTTTAGCATGCATCTAAATCACCTGGAGGCCAGGTAAAACTGCAAAGTGGGGGCCTCATCCCAGAATTTTAGAATTGGAAGTCTCATAATGAGGCTGCAGAATTTGGAATCCTAAGAAGTTCCAGGTGCTGCTGCAGCTGCTGTTTGGGGACTGCAATTTGAGAACCACTCTTCTGTGTCACTCTTCACAGAACACTTGAAGCCTCTTACCTCTCTCTGTTTCTCCTTTCTCTTTTCAATTTGCTTTCCAGATATAACTTTTTTTGTTGTTTTTTAATCCAACAGGAATCATGGTGTTATCTGAAGTCAATCAAAGCAGCACACTCACGTTTACTCTCTTGGGGTTTTCAGAATACCCAGAATTTCAGGTTCCACTATTTCTGGTTTTCTCATCCATCTACACAGTCACTGTGGTGGGGAATTTGGGCATGATAATCATCATCAAGGTCAATTCAAAACTCCACACAATCATGTACTTTTTCCTGAGTCACTTGTCCTTTGTAGATTTCTGTTATTCCACCATAGTTACACCGAAACTGTTGGAGAACTTGGTTGTGGAAGACAGAACCATCTGTTTCTCAGGCTGCAACACACAATTTTGTTTCACTTGCAGTTTTGCAGTGACAGAAACTTTCATGCTAGCAGCGATGGCCTATGACCGTTTTGTGGCTCTTTGTAACCCTTTGCTCTATAGCACTACTATGTCTCAGAAGCTGTGTGCTCTTCTGGTGGGTGGGTCTTACACATGGGGTGTAGTGTGTTCCCTGACACTCACATATTTTCTTCTGACACTGTCCTACTGTAAGCCTAGCATCATGAATAATTTTATCTGTGACCACTCTGTAATTATTTCTGTCTCCTGCTCAGACCCCTATATTACCCAGATGTTATGTTTTATTATTGCTGTATTCAATGAGGTGAGCATCCTGATGATTATTCTCATGTTGTATATACTCATTTTCATCACTGTTCTGAGGATACCTTCTGCAAGTGGGCACCGGAAAACCTTCTCCACCTGTGCCTCCCACCTGACTGCCATCACCATCTTCCAGGGAACCATCCTTTTCCTTTACTGTGTTCCTAACCCTAAAACTTCTTCGCTTGTAATTAAAGTAGCTTCTGTGTTTTATACAGTGGTGATTCCCATGCTGAACCCATTGATCTATAGCCTTAGGAACAAAGATGTGAAGGACACATTTAAAAAATTTGTTGTCACCAAATTGCTTTGTTACACATTATGCTATTTTTAGACTTATTTTATTTATGTAAAAGTAGTTTACTATGCTACTGATTTCCCAACTCTTACAGTGCAAATGGTATTCCAATTATTTAATCAACATGTTATTGGTTAATAAAGGGTTATGAAAATTGACTACAATATATATTGAGAAGTAAAAATTAAAAAAAATAGATTTTTGGATAATATATCTATGGCAGAACAACATTATGATTATTGATTTTTGTTTACATCGATATTTAGTGAAATAGCCGATAGCCATTTAAATCATAAACTAAAACAAAAACAAAAACCTTAAAATTTGGACCATCTGCAGCAATATTTATAAATTATTTTAAAATACTTTATATCCTAGAATTTCATATGTGTTTTTCTAAAGTAAAATTAATTTCCAGTTCATCAAATATGAGTAGGTTTAGCATAGTCCCTGAAAATTGTAATCAGGAAGCCCGTACTCCAGAAAGAGCTTTTGGAAATGCTTCAGCTTACTGTATCTTGTACAATGATTCTCTCTTTGTATTTTCTTGTGTTAAATGGCAGACATTGATTTTTATTCATGAAAACTATAGCCTGCTGCCTAGCAAACAAAATCAAATAAAGTATTGTTTTGCTTTTCTCACATGCATGCTCTATTTTATTCCAAAAATGATTTGAATAATCAAGGCAGTGGCATATTAGAGTAATAGAGTCCAAAATTGGATGCACACATATTTGTTCATTCAAATTTCAACAAATATGTCATTATAAATTAATGGGAAAAGACATTTATCTAACAAAGAATAAAGAAAAAAAAACTGCATATCCATATGTATAAAAGAGACTTAATTTTTCACATCATACACAACTATTAACTTGAATTAAATGGAAAGTATCATAGATCTAAATACAAATGTAAATCACACAAAATTTGAGCACAAAATGTAGGGAGAATCTTTCCAAATTTTGGGTAAAATCTTTTTAGATTAAATGCAAAAATAGCAGCTCATCAAAAAATTGATAAAATTAATTTCATCTAAATTAAAAATGTATAGTAAAGGTTTCTTAGTGATGAAAGACACATTAAGAAAATAAAAATGTAAGCACTGGTTGTGAATAAATATTTGCAATATGAATGTCTGACATAGTATTTGTATTTAGAACATATAAAGAATCCCTACACTCAAAACGAGAAAACAAACTATCCTTTTACAGAATGTTTAAAATAGTTGAGCAGACACTTGACTAAAGAAGATTTGCAAATCATTGCTAAAAACATGGGCAGACATTAAGTATTATTAGTCATCAGTGAAAGTTATTTTAAAATTATGATAAGATGCGTTATTTTAAAATTATGATAAGGTGCCACTGCAAAACGTTTAGAAAGGCTTAAGTGAATACAGCTGAAATGCCAGGTACTGGTTAGAACATAGAGAACTAGAATGCTCATATATTTGAGATGGTGGTAAAAGATACATTGACATGAAATACAGTTTAGCAGTATCTTGTGAATAGACTTATTATACAGATTTTCCATACAATCCAACAATTTACTTATTAGGTATTTATGCATGAAAAATCAAACCAAATATTTTAACATAGGACAAAATTCTACTTTCTGGCATATGCAATATTATAGGAAAGGGAAAAGATCAGGGAGAGTAGTGTGTTTGGGAGATTTGTGAACTTTTTTTCCCTCTCCTTAAAAACTGATTTTCCTAGAAAAGTTCAATGTTCTTTTAAAAAGAGCTTTTGCTGTAGACATATTAAGGGGAAACACAGTAGTCAGGAAAAACATAGAACATCTTGTCACTTTAACATTAGGAAATTGATTATATATATGTGTGTGTGTGTGTGTGTGCGCACATACATACATACATATATACATATGTAATTGTATGTATATTCATATATATAAAGTTGTGAGTATATATAGTGCTTGACACAACATACATATATTTGGTAATGTCCACAATCTTCACTTGCATTGTGCCTTTGACCACTTTCTCATCATACCTACATTACCATTGAGAATTAAGTTAATGAGGTATAATTGTCCCCCCATGTAATTGGGATGTTTAGGGGTGTAGTTTGTTCATTAAAAAAATGGTTTTCACTAGGCTATTGATTCTGAGAAAAGACAGACTCTATATATGAGTCAGTGTCTGGTCAGGACAAGAGAATAATTGCTCTTGGATTTTAAACAGGGAATTTAAAACAGTGATTTATCATAAATAAATGTGGAATAAAAGAGGATAGGAGAGGTCTTCCTTCAATTAGTGACGGAGCCATTAAAATTCTCTTGCTGGAAAATGAAGATGGCGACAGGTCTGGAGCGGCCGTGCCAGGAGACAGCGCAATCCTGAGCGCTGTGCGCTGTGATACCAGAGTATTAATTGCATTTCCAAGAGCAACAAAAGGCGAATAATTCTTTCAACAACGATCCTACATCGACAAACAAGCGGCAGCAGGTTCGAGGTTTTGGGGCCAACACAGAAGAGGACTCCTGAGAGCACCCAAGCCCGGCTGTGGGAACGAACAGGCAGCCCAGAAAACAAAGACCAAGAAAGCTGACAGAAGCAGCGCAGAAACGGAGTGAAACACGCCGGACCGGCCCAACTCTGCGAGCTCTATCCTATAGAACAAGAAGCCCTTGAAATGAAT